GGTAAAGCTTTCATCCAGGAAGATAGAGTACATGTCCGATAACTTGATCTTCATTTCTACTTCATCTACTTCCGTTTTTGTAATCAAATCACCTACCTTGCCTTCAGCATTGCTACAGACTTTGCTCTTCTTATTTTTCAATATTTTTTGCAACAAGCATGACTTCTCTGGTGAAAATCGTTTTTCCACTTTGGTCCTGGTGTATGGATGCACCTCTATCCAAGTAGAAAACTGCAATCAGATTACTTATAAGGTTTCTGAGGCTTTCGCGGCCCAAGTTTATTGATAAAGTGTTTTTCTCGCGGGCTTGATGGCCGTCGTAAGTTAGAATTTCTTCCTGACATTTCGCTAGCGCGCATATAGCTAGTATCTTCAGAGGTGCTTCCATGTCCGATCCGGTAGCAGACTGACGCGTTTCCGACCGCAAGTTGTATTTATGTGTGAGTGGTTGTGGTAGGGGAGGGGCGGGGCTTCGCAGCACGTGGCTAATCTGAATTTTCTCTGTACTCAATGGGATTTTTCTTGCGTTTTTGAGGATCAGGTTCCAACTTTGGTTAAGTTGCAGTGCTTCTTCTTTCCTGTTGAAGTCCTCCGTATGTTTGTAGATATCTATAGCTTCACGTACAAGTAGACTGTGGTATCCGGCAATTGGTGCAACAAGCTTGACCTCACCAAAAAGAATTTCGTGATTCCTTTCACTAAGCGCAGGTTCCGCTACTGCCGATTTTTCCGATTGTCCCAATCTGCAATTTATTTTGTGCTGGTTGATCCTAGTTCCTATGGATCTTTTTGTTGTTCCTATGTATACCTTGCCACATCTGCATGGTATACGATAGACTCCAGCGCTTGACAGTGGGTTCCTCTCATCCTTGGCTGATCTGACTGATTGCTGTATTTTTATTGTTGGCTTGAAGATCGTTTTTATATTGTGTTTCTTCAAGACTTTCCCTATCCTGTTAGTTACCCGAGAAATGAAAGGCAGATATGCATTAGCCACCACTGGTTGTTCATCCACGTTTTGTAGTGTGACCGTTTTGGGTCGCATGGCCCTGTCGATTTCAGTTGTATTGTATTGATTTGATAGAAAGGCCGACTTGAGGTGATCCAGTTCTTGCTCGTGATGTTGTGATTCGCAGATGTTCCAAGCACGTTCTGTTAACTTTGTTATAATTCCACGTTTTTGCATTGGATGGTGGTTTGAGAGTGCATGCAGGAACCTGTCTGTGTGTGGGGGTTTTCGGTACACTGGCCTAATTTTCCTCCAGATTTCCTTATGCATTCAGGAACGCCTTGATCCATCTACCTACCGAAAGCTAAAGAAGGATCCCATCCAAGCCATACTCCCGAATACCAACAAACTGATTAAGTCATCTACCCTAACAGATACGGTTAAGAAAGGCATCATGAAAATGGAAGCGGTTTCACTACGATTTTACGGCCTACCCAAAATTCACAAACCTGAAGTCCCGCTAAGACCCATAGTGAGTGCACCCGGAGTACCAACCTAGCGAAACATCTTGCATCGCTTCTTCAACCGCATGTAGTAAAAACTAGCTCTTACGGCAAGAACTACATTCACTTCGTCCAGAAAATTAGGGATATTATTCTCCAACCTAAGGATATCCTGGTCAGTTTTGATTTCGTGTCTCTATTCACAAAAGTGCATTGCCGGAATCTCTTGACTTTATATTAAGTACCTTCTCCAATGACATATAGTTGAGCTTTTCTGTACATGTCTCACTGGGAGTTACTTCCTGTGGAATGGCGATTTCTACGAACAAACGGAAGGTGTAGCTATGAGAAGTCCGCTTAGCCCGGTCATAGCCAACTTCTTTATGGATGATTTCGAAAGGAAAGCTATCGAATGGCTGCGATATGTAGATAATACCTTTGCGGGTTGGAGTCATGTGGAAAAGAAGCTTAATCAGTTCCCAGGCCACCTGAACGCGCAATATCCTAGCATACAATTTACCATGGAAAAGGAGAAAAACCAAGAAATCGCCTTCTTAGATGTACTCATAAAGAAATCTGGACGAATACTAAGCCTTACAGTGTACCGGAAACCCACACAAACAGACAGGTACCTGCATGCACTCTCAAAACACCATCCAAGGCAAAAATGTGGAATCATAACAACGTTAACAGAAAGTGTTCGGAACATCTGCGAGCCACAACATCTCGCAAGAACTGGATCACCTCAAGTCGGCCTTTCTATCAAATGGATACAATACATCTGAAATCGACAAGGCCATGCGACCCAAAACGGTCACACGACAAAACGTGGATGAACAACCAGTGGTGGCTAATGCATATCTGCCTTCCATTTCTCGGGTGACAGACAGGATAGACAAAGTCTTGAAGAAAGACAACACAAAAACGATCTTCAAGCCAACAAGGAAAATACAGCGATCAATCAGATCAACCAAGAATAAGAGAAACTCACTGTCAAGCGCTGGAGTCTATCGTATACCATGCACATGTGGTATGGTATACATAGGAAAAACAAAAATATCCATGGGAACCAGGATCAACGAGCACAGTAGAAACTGCAGACTAGGACCATCGGAAAAATCGGCAGTAGCGGAACATGCGCTTAGTGAAGGGAATCACGAAATACTATTTGGTGAGGTCAAGCTTCTTGCACCGACTTCGGGGTACCAAAATCGTCTTGTACGTGAAGCTATAGAAATCCACAAATATACGGAAAACTTCAACAGAAAAAAAGAATCACTGAAACTAAACCAAATTGGGGACCCGATCCTCAAAAACGCAAGAAAGATCCCATGGAGTACAGAGAAAGTTCAGATTAGCCACGTGCTGTGAAGCCCCGCCCCTCCCCCACCACATCCACTCATACATAAATACAGTTGTGGGGGGAACGCGTCAGTCTACGACCAGAATCGGACATGGAAGCTTTTCTGAAGATGCTAACCACGCGTGCTAGCGAAACGTCAGAGAGAAATTCCGACAACTAACGACGACCATTAAGCCCGAATGGAAACACTTTATCAGATTACTTATTGTTTGTCATTTTTAATCTGACACTTTCCGTATGAGGAGTGAGGGGGTGAAGCAAATGGGAAAAACAGGTGTGACGTCAGGTGATCATTGGCGTTCTAACGTAGGGAGCCTCCAGCTCACATTTCTTTAGATTATCAGATTAAAATCGATGGACTGTATTTGTAGACAATTAGACAGAACAAGGCATCAATTTCTGCTGGATCTGCTTTCGTATTCTGTCAAATTGAATTTTGAATGATATACTTTTATAAAGGAAACTGTACTAAAGGGTACTGTTATAAAGGAAATGATTGGACTTCATCATTGGCTGGAATCTTCTTTCTCGTTTGCTCCATCCATCATCCATTAGTTTTACGTATTTTTTTGGAATTCTTAGTCGAAGAGAATAAACAACATCGAATTTCTCTAGATATGCGCCCATAGGTAGTATTCAGTTGCCTGAACATTACACTTTTTATTAGTTTATAATGTTATCTCGTCTTATAAAATAAATGTCCTAAATTAGCCAATTAAATTTCATTTACAACAAGCTTATAGATATGCTTGTACGTAAATCGTAAATTGTCTTTTCCCTTTGGCCAATTATTTATGTTCCACCCCATCTCGGATAAGCCTCTCCATTGTTCAAGCACAACACTGGCTCACGGGCAATTGATCACTTCCGCCTGGTTTTCGATACGATTTGTACTTCGCGATCAGTAAACGACACGTGACGCTTGTTATACGTAGTCGTTTTGTTCTTTGATTTTAAGCCGCTTGAGAACGATTTCATCGAATAATAAAAAATTCAAATCCACTGGCAAAGTTAATGCCTCTTCTGGGAGATTTCGGATCAGGATTCTGACATTAACGATAGCGAGAATGGTCGAAAGATAATCAGTTGGAAGCCTCCGAAATCATACTTTTCTATAGACGTGCTCCATTTTCACACCATCCCGGGTCTAAGTGTTATGTCCGGGAGTATAACGCTTCACCGCCTTATTTTCCTGCATATAAAACCGCTCGTTCTCACTCTGTTTTCTGGCAACGGAGATGTGCCGGAAACTTTACCGAACCTGTTTTATGCTGATCGTCTTTCTTTACGATTATAATATATTTTACTTGAAATTTCTTGTGAGAAGAGAACTACTAAAATACAACCTTTTTTCTGAATGTAAGTTGAGTTCAAGTAGAATGTGTTTCGTAATTTCCCAAGTTGTTGACTTTAGGCATACAGAAAAAAAATATATATATTTTATGTGGAAACCCGATACATGAACATCTATCTATTCGGCCAAATTTATTTGAACATTTTTTTCCAAAGTATCTATTTTATCTGCTCTGCAATTTCTCAAACAAATTGGCTATTCACTAGTCGAAGTCTAGACAAACTCGCGCCTCAAGCCCAACATAAACAAGTTATAAATTTCCTTAACATTTTCAGATAAAACCCCCTTTTTTAACACTCTAATGATAGCCGATAAAATATAAAGAACAAATATCTGCCGAAGCCGACTATATCGATAACAAATAGGTTGCTTAGTCAAAATAAATGACGCGAGGAAACCTATAATAATTCAAAACTGGTTTTTTGGGGATAAAATTAATGTGCTAGGACCGCAGCGCTTGCTTTGCCGGGCAGTAAAAGTTTTTCCATGAAATTTATTAGGCCTAATTAGGAGGGTTGTTTTTATGAGTTTCGGGCTTGATAAGTTTTCAGAGCTATTTTGTTTTTTATCCCAAACTTTTTACTCAATTCAATGCTGTATGACGTACAAATTACCATTTACTTTTGTTTTTTGCACGAGAGATTAAAAAGCAAAATACATATGTAACTCACACACCAAATTACTTTCGATAAACTCGTTAGAGAGGCTTTTGAATCAGCTTTATACGGAAAACGCTTTCATCAAGTAGATATTTAAGCTCTGTTTCGAAAGTTGGTAATTCAATAATGAAACTTTCAACGTGAAATTGAGTTGTCTGAACAAATAAACAATTATTTTAAAAAAGAAATAAGTTTATTTTCAAAAAAATATATAAATTTTAACAGTCTTCATTGACGAGATCCATCGCCAGTCTTTTTCAATCTGTTTTCAACAGACCCTGCGTTTGCTTTTTTCAAGTCATAAGCCCAACCAATTTTGGCGAAAAAATTGATGAAATATAATGCAGGGTTCCATTGACCTTTTTCGCCAGCTCTGTAATCCCAGGGGAACGTGTGATGGTAATTATGCCAACCTTCTCCGTGAGATATTATGGACACGAAGAGGTTTTCTGTTGGACCAATATATCTAAAAAGTATTTGATTGAATTAATTATCAACGCGTTGTTACAAAAGTGTTTAGGTATCTTTGATTTATTCTTAATTTTAGTAAATTGAGAAATTAATGGTACATGCTAGAGTTCTTAAATTTTATGGATAAAGCTGGGCTTTAGATTAAAAATGCAGTCATCATCATCATAGGCGATCACTCGATACCGAGTATGATTATGGTGTATTCTATTTCTTATCGTCGTCGATTATGTGATGGCTCCCAAGGTAAGGTAATGTTCTACGTTCTGCAAAAAAATGGACATTTATAGTTATATTTGGTTCTTGAGGATTAGTGCCCAGTGCGGATTGGTGCAGAATCTACGTCTTGTTAAGGTTGACCTCTAGGCCGATTCTCCTGTATGCCTGGTTGAATGCATTGATTCCTTAAGATTCTGTATTGGTCATCACGACGTTATCATCCGCAACAATTATTGATATCGTCGATACTTTCTTCTTGCCTCGTAATCTGTTCAGAATGAATAATGAATCCATAAATTCCATAGCTCTAAGAGCTGTTAAAATTAAACCAGTATTGTGAGGAACAAAGCACAGGAATAGATGAAGGAATGAAATCTAGATCGCTAGTAGGTAGATGAAACCTCGGAGAAAATACATCTGTATTAGGTGTAAAAATAGAGATTATAGGTTTCTTGGAACATAACTATATTTTAGATTCCGAACCGTATAATTCAAGAAATTATTATCAAGACTTTCACCGCAAGAAATCTCTGAAAAGTTTTACTCATTCGTGGAATTTGAGTTTGTGGCGTGCTCCTATTTGGTTTGTGCGTTCTATTTCCTGTAGCACGACGATTGCTCCGATATTTCAGATTTTTTTTCATTTAATTGTTAAGTTAAATCACGCCATTTCAAGTCTGAAGTGGGCATTTTTCCTCGTTAATTACGTCGTCTGGTTTGGATTTTGGCATATTTTTATATACTTTCCCTATAGGTATAATTTTTTTATTCCTGCATTTTTGTCTTCCTTGTTGCCGGCTCATCATCGATAATCAACTGGACTTTAAACCATGTAACAGTTAATTTTCAATAAGTGATTACTTTCATACTTGTTACCTTTATAAGTAGCAGTAGGTCAGGAATAATTTAGGCTTCTTTTTGTATTGTCACGGCTCTGGCTTTTTAGTCTAAAAAGATAGCTTTGATGGCAACTGTTTCCACTAAAATTTTCCCAAACCACATAGGACTGGTGAGTTGTATGATGAAGAATGACTACCAAGGTGATATTTTTGTAGACCTATGTCAACGTTTTGAACCAGGCAAAGAACATGTTTTGTCCAGATGTGTCATATCTTCAAGAGATTTGAAAATTTCAATTTTAAATGTTTCAAAAGATGTGATCTGTTTTGGACCAAATAGGGTAATTGCAAGAGGTGTTTCTTGCGTTCCTAATGACGAAAATGTATGTACCTACCTGTTTAAAAGTAGATATTTGAAATTTGCAAAAATTTTCCTTAAATGATTTAACCACTTGTGTGTCAGAAAAGTTATCTAGAACCGATTTAAATAATCTTGTATTATTGTTAAACAAGTATCGCGATTGTTTTGCGGAAAATTTGAATGAACTAGCTCACATTGGATCCGCAGAAATGGAAATTCGTTTAAATTGTGGAAATCCTGTGACATATAGACCATATAGATTTTCTATGCATGAAAGGGAGAAGGTGCGCAAAACAGTTAATCCAATTGTATTGGTTAAGAAGAAAACTGGCGAAACACGCAAGTGCGTAGAATACCGCGCTGTTAACGCAAAAACGATGAAAGACTGCTTTACCAAGAGTAGACGACCATTTAGAGATTTTAAAGGGATGCAAGTATTTTACGACCTTGGACATGGCGAGCGGTTACCACCAAATACCAATGGCGGAGAACTCCCGAGAAAAAACAGCATTCGTAACTCCTGATGGTCATTACGAATATTTAAGGATGCCGTTCGGATTAGTAAATCCTCCAGCAGTGTTTCAACGGACGATTAACCAGATCCTAGGCTCCTTGAGATTTTCTACTGCCTTAGCATACATGGATGACATCTTGGCTCCTTTTTCTAGTGTTGCGTCTGGGTTAGTTGCTCTTGGGGATGTATTTGAAACCTTCCGAAATGCAGCTGTCACTTTGCGACTGTCAAAATGTAATTTCTTTAAGGAGCAAATTGATTATTTAGGACATGGGATTAGTGCTGCCGGTATCCGACCCGGTACTTCGAAGATTTCTGCAGTAAAGAAATTTCCAAAAAATGTGCATCAGATTCGACAATTCATCAGTCTATGCACCTATTTCAGGAAATATGTGAGAGATTTTGCACAAATTGTCCGCCCTTTGACCTCCCTTACTCCTTACCAAAAAGGATGTACAATTTGACTGGGGTATAGAGCAGGATGGTGCTTTTGCGAAACTTAGAAGAGTTTTGATCAAGAGACCTACACTTGCCCTATATATGACCCTGAGTTAGAAACAGAGGTCCACGCTGATGCTTCGCAAATTGGGCTTGGTGATATTTTGTTACAAAAACAGGAATATGGCAACCTAAAGCCAGTAATTTTCTTCAGCCGACAGACTGCAAAGGAAGAATAAAAGTATCACTCGTACGAACTCGAAACATTAGCAGTGGTTTGCTCGTTACAGAGGTTCCGAGTATACCTATTAGGGCTATCGTTCAAAGTAATAACTGACTGTGCGCCTTGACAACTGCAATATCAAAGCGTGATCAGATTCCGCGCATTGGACGGTGGTGGGTTTCCATCCAAGAATTAAATTTTAGTGTAGAGTATTAGCAAGGATCAAAAATGTCACATGTGGATGCATTGAGCCGAAACCCAATTGCAGAGGATAAACCTTATGAAAGATCAGAAATTATTGATATTTTTCAAGTAGATATCAAACAAGATGATTGGGTGTTATCAGCGCAACTGAAAGATAGCACATGCAAGAAGTTGATTGGAATATTGTTGAGGAAACCAGTAAACAGTGACGAAAAACAGGTTCACAAAGATTACTCGCTGAAAGATGATAAATTTTATCGGAAAACATCTGCTGGTTTACGATGATACGTTTCCAAGGCGGGCAGACGCGTAGTGACAATGTGCCATTATGACAATGTGGGCCATTTTCACGAATGCGAAAATATGTGGACCGCTATATTTCTGGTCATCTACAATGTGCATACAACAAAGCACCTACAGGTAAACAAGAGGGATTTCTCCATAAAATAGAAAAGGTACCAATCCCAATGCATAATCTTCACATTGATCATGTTGGACCGTTTGTGAAGAGCACGAGGAAAAATGCATACTTGATAGTAGCAGTAGATGCTTTCACGAAGTTTCTTCATGCCAACCCAAGTACCAAAACCAAACCAGTAATAAACTTTTTAGTGACAATTTTTCTGACTTTCGGTACTCCTAGACGCATCATTTGTGACAGAGGATCTTGTTTTACAAGTAACTCCTTCATCAGCTTTAACAAGGAGCTAGGAATCAAATTGGTATTTAATGCAACAGCCACTCCACGTGCAAAAGGAAAAATATAACAGCACTTTGTTGAAGGCCATTTCAACATCTTACGAAGATGAAAGAAAGTGTGACGAGTCAATTAAGTCTATTGTTTTCGGATTTAATTCTGCACTAAACAGTTCTACTGGGAAGAGTCCCTGTGAACTGCTTTTTGGATACAGACCAAGAGCATTGGGTAATTCATTTCTGAGTACAGCTGTCACAAAGGACGCTGTTGAAAATGACATCACACAATCTAGGCACGATCAAATTGCTCAGGACAAGCAGAATAACATACTTTGATGCTAAAAGAAAGAAATGTCATAAGTATGTGGTAGGGGACCAAATTGTTCTGAAGAGGACAAGCTCTGCAAATGAGGGTAAAAGCAAAAAGTTGCTGCCTTAGTTTAGTGGTCCTTACCAAATCAAAGAGGTTCTAGATCATGATCGTTATATTATAGATGACCTGCCAGGGTCAAATCGTGCACGTAAAAGATATGAAAGTGTCAGTTCATCTGACTGTATGAAGCCGTTTAATCTTACTTGAAAACTCACTATCACAGTAAAAATTGGGTATACAGTCACTTCCGGTGTAATTTACACAATCGGTTAAGTCTTTTTTTGTGATTATCACTTCTTGCACTGACTAACTGTCCCAGTGTTCACTCAGTGTCCACACTGTTCACACTATTCTGAAATCTGATTTCACTTTGCAGTCCTCGAATTATATCCCACTTTTGACATCAATGTCACGGCTCTGGCTTTCGTGACAGAAAGATCAGAAGTTTCTTGGACATGCCTAGAGTTTGTTTAGTTGTTAATTGTGGCAGTATAGCGCAAGGGATACAATATTCTTCCATAGGTTTCCATCAATTTTAAATAACAATGGGTGGTTTGATTTGTTAGCTCAAGAGAGAAGAGAAAAATTTTCTTAAAAGGGAAGATACAAACACTCCGCTCTAACTTTTTTAAAACAAAATAACACCAAAACTTGTGGAAAAGCTATGAAAACCGCATAAAACATAACCGGCCTAATCTAAACGAATTGTAAATAAATGATTTGTTTTACCTCAGGGCGACTGTCAAACTCATTTGTGACGTCACATGGACGTGCCCTATTGTGTTGTATTGTGTAGATCGACCTTTTTTTATCACTTCAGAAATGACAAAGAGTCAAGTCAGTGTCACCTTTGAACCAAACATAACATAAAAACATGTTGCATTTACTTTCGTTCAGTTTTGACATTGACAAATACTGTCTGAGCTAAGAGCCGCTTTCGGGTGCCCCTAGAACCAATGAACTATAACCAAAAACTGGAATGCTAACACATATTGACGAACCTGAAGCCTAGTGCCGCTGCTGCGGAGGGGATACCTGTTTTTGTCGCACTCATTATGTTAAATGGCGGAAATTGCTTCCAACACGTATTCCAATTGATGAAACCTGTGAAGGTAAATATGACAAAACTTTCCAAAATGTCATATATCAGCGAGCAACAGAAAAAAACAACATTCCCCTCTGTGGCATCTGTCTTTCATGGCTACATTTTTTTCGCGGATATGGCAATGTGTGCGCATTCCAGTTTTTGACTATAGTTCATTGCCTAGAACACTTCACACCTGTCAGTGATCTGTCATACTCCATGCCTTTTGCACTAGAACGCTTGAAACCGAACGGGTCAAACTGTAGCCGGAGTACTTCGGAGTAACTCGGGAGCGCTCAAAGGGTGTCACCCGAAAGCAGCTAAGTTTTTCAGAACAGACTTTTTGTTGTTAAGCCTGACTCACACTAGGCAAATTTGAAAAATATATATTGCCTGTACCAGTTTTATATTTGTGTACACCGACAGCTCAGAGAACGCAGACAGAGTGGGGGCAGGAATATATAGGGAACGACCCAAGATGAATGAAACCACTATATATCAAGCAGAAGTCTTCGCTATACATGTGTGCATCCAACAGAGCATTACGCGAGGGTGTAAAAATCAAAATATAGGTATTCTCATGGTTGGTTAACCGTACTGCACTAAAAGCACTGGGTTCCTTTCGCATCATTTCCCGAATGAAGATGGAGTACCTCACTAAGCTTGCTAAGAAAAACAAGGTTCGATCCTATGGGTGCCTGGCCACTCAGAGATAGAGGGCATCGAAAGAGCAGATGGGCTGGCGAGAGCTAGAGCAACGTCATTTATAGGCCCTAAGCCCAGTTTAAGAATATCGATCTAAGTCGTTAAGTAGGGGTTAAGGTGAGGATGTAAGACTTGCACTAGGCTGCGGTCTCCAGAACCTGTATCCTCCCAGAGGAATTCTCAAGACTGTCCACGAGTAAACTTCACACAAACCGGCGCTGCGTGGGCGGACCTTTAGTTCCGGCCTACTCCTGGGATTTATATGTACTTCACAAAAACAGATAAATCTTTAAAGGAGGGACCCTGAAACCGGGCTCCGAAGAGGGCTCTCATGTGGGGGGCTCTTCAAAAAAGGGCCCATCATAAGACCCCACTAAGAGGACTGGTGACACTGGCACCCAATCTTTTAAAAAGAAGAACAGATCTGGTGCGGCTAAGGCCAATGATAAGTAAGTGGACAGTGTCTGACGAACCGTCAGTGCCTTTTTGCCACAGACACATCCTATTCAGTTTGAAACTTTGATCACAAGGCTGGGCCCAGTAAGTTCAAGAACCCCCGGAACACGAACTGGGACCAATACGTTTAGATCCTAAGGGCTAAGCTAGAAGAGTTTTCCACTCCATGCCGCAGCGCAAGGCAAGTGGAAAATACAGCCGAATTCATACGCAACGCAATCACCAATGCGTACGAACGAAGCTGTCAGCTTCGGACCTATCGAGGAAAGAAGAAAACCCATTGGCGAAACTCCGACCTCGACAAGGCTCGTAAAGAAACCCGCAGGCTCTTCAACAGGGCCATACGGTCTAAATCACTAAATAGAATCTTTCTAGCATTTTTGAGGATGCAATTTGACGCCCTCATCAGTCGCAGACTATGATACCTCGGGACCCTCGGGTAAGCTTCCTGGGTCTGCACCTTTCTTAATAGTTGCGGGCTCCTAAGGTAAGACAGGGCTGCACCAACAGGGGGATAGCACAATGGACCACATGAGCGTCTACGTGCTGCCTGTAAAGGCTCCCCTTTCAAATCAATCAAGTCGTAAAGTCAACACTAGATAAATGGTCGAAAAGACAACATTTGGCCCGTTGGAAGGAATACATCTGGACAATATCACGCAAGGGCTGTAATACGAAACCCTTTATCGAAGTTAACAGCTGACGTGCTTGGACTACGCGTACAAAGATGAGAGAAGTGATGTGGCTATTGACACGAAACTCTCACTTAAAGAAACATCAGCACAGGATTGGGATATTCACTGGAGCTTCGCACATAATATATGACTGTGTGGCTCTATCACACAAAAGGGAAAGACTTTTCGGAGCAATACAGGCTGGTACTAGACTACCGACTCTAGTAGGGTGGGAAGGAAATTGGGATGCACAATAAGCTAACACGATGCAGTTCATGGAAGGCCACAGTGCCTAGATCCACCTAGAAACAACCAACCTCATCAGCCTGCAAATCTTTTCATAACTGATTGAAACTAGTCACAGATTAATATGACTCAACGTAACTGAGAAGGCAAGATTGCCAGCTATACGTTTCCAGTTATTGTCAACTGGTGCGCTCCATTTTTGAAGTTTGTCCAATAAACATATCGAAATTCACATTTCAGATTGGATCAAAACTTGCTTTTCGGATGCTCATCAAAACCGCACAATCTACTTACTTGTCATATGGCTTATGACCCATCAGATGCGAAAACGAGTTTATCGAGAACGTAGAATGGATTCCAAGTTCATAACGCAACCAGTTTATGCAAAAACCATTGAAAAATGTTTCGTTCCACAATAACATCGGTATAAAAGCTGGCAGAAGGTATGACGTAAACTGCAAGAGCCAATAATGTTTGTGCTGGAAACTAAAAACAAATTCATTCATCGAATAAATCCTATTCAAATAATACCTGAGAATAGGGTCTGCGAATAAATCGGAAAAATCAACAGAAGTGCCTTTTTTAATCACTTCAGGGTGTTTTTTCATAAACTGCCAACCGAAATGGGCGTAGAAAAAGCCGCGTTTGGCATTGTGAGGATCGGCATCGGTGTCAGAGTATCTGTGGTGCACTCTGTGGTCTCTAGCCCAGTCAATTATGGATTTCTGAAACAAAGTTTAAATCCGCAAATATTTTTAGATATACTATACTTTACTTGTGCTGCTAATGTGGCAAAAACTGCTAGTAGAAGTTTTAGGGGTAATTTTGCTTTGTAGGTTCTATGCGCCCACAATCTGTGAACTCCAGCCATTGTTCCCATCATAGAGATTTCATAAATGATAAATCCTATAAATAGATTATGGAAATTGAAATGTTTGAGATTATTTTTGATTTACCATAAATTGTAGTGGTTAGTTTTGCGGATGTGAATATTCTCACCAAACCCCATAGGGCAAATATATGAATCACTATTTGTATTATTAGGTTGCTCCATATTATTTCTTGCTTGCCCGTGGTAGTGGTGGATTTTTCTGGTATTTTCTCAGTTATAATTACTTCGTCGTTTTCATAAAGAACACCAGTCGGCGAGAAAGTTTCTTCGGGTTTAGGAGCCATAATTTTATTTGAACTAATGCAAATACTGTTTACACAGTCGCTTAAATTATATTTGTCAATTGGTGCGTAAAAAAGAAGTAATTATGACTTGGTAATTGGTAAATTAACATACAATGTTATTAACAATAATTATGAAGGTTATTAATATTTCATTTGTATGTATATGGATCGGTCTGGTTGAAAATGGGAATGCATTACACATTGAAATGGGAATTATTAATATATTTACAATTAAAAAAAAATTACCCTTTTCGAATGCGATTTTCAAATTTGGAAATCACCTCGAATTATTGAAAATTGTATCTTTATGTTAAAAAGTCAATTATTTAGATTGCCACGCAAAATTCAACCTAAATAGTCAGTGCAACAAGGAAATAGGTATTTTGCGATTGTGATCTTGGTAGGGGTCCAATATAATCGAGTCTGATACTTTGCCACGGTTCCCTAATTGCAGGACGATCACCCATAAATAAGTCCTGGGGGAGCTTTTTGTTCCACCTTATTCTGAGCACAGATATGGCAACACCTCACATAACGAGTAATGTCGGCTCTCATTTTAGGCCAGAAATAACGTTCACCAACTTTAAAGAACGTTTTGAAAGCTCCCATATGTACGGCAGCTGGGATATCATGGTTTGGCAGAAAGACGGATCATTGCTGATAACTTCATCATCATGAATGACATCAATATCAACAACAGGAACGGATCTTGATAAGAAGTTGGGAACAACATGTTCCTTGCCCTTCCGATGAATAAGCTCAATGTCGTAGGGTTGTAATCGTAAGCACCAACGAGCTTATCGTCCCTGTGGATCCTTAAACTTGGCCAAATACAATAAAGAGTGGTGGTCAGTGATAACGCTAAACCTTTGCTCTTCGAGGTAGGGTCTTAGCTTTTCCACACTTCATATCATCGCCAAACATTCTTTTTTAGTGACGCTTAACTTTTGTTCTTGCCGCGTTAAAGATCGTGACAGATAACATATGACTTTCTCGCCATCCTCAAACGCCTGGGTGAGAACTGCGCCGAATTTATAATTGGACGCGTTTGTCTGCAAGGTAAAAGACCTACTAAAATCTGGGCAGGTCAAGAGGGGAGCAGTAACAAGTGCTTCCTTAATAAGATTGAAAGATCTCCGGAAGTCTTCAGTCCAGTTCCAACTCACGTTCTTTTTAGTCAGATAGGTTATTGGCGCCATGACGGATGAAAAATTGGGATAAACCGCCTGTACCAAGACGCTGTCCCACAAAATCTCCGGATTTCGTGAACGTTCGTTGGAGGGGGTATGTTGACAATCGCCTCAACCTTTTCCGGGTTCAGGCGCAATCCTTTGGCATCGACCGGATCACCTAGATATTTAAGTTGTGGTTTGCAAAAATGTCCAATACAATGGCAAAAATTCTTAGAAGATCCGAGAAGTTTCTGGATATGACGATTATATAAGAACGCTAGCCACAATTATCTGGCAGGTTGCTGGAGCGTTATTCAACCCAAAAGTCCTGGAACCGTAAAGGCTGTGTTCTCTTCCGATTTTTCAGTCAGAGGCGCCTGCCAAAAGGCTGACTTTATATCCACAGAACTGATGTAACGAGCATCTCTAAGGCGGTCCAGGATTGACGAAATGTATGGAAAAGGGTATGCGTCTTTTTTTGTTGCAGCATTTAGCTTTCTAAAACCTATGAAAAAGCGATAGGAGCCATCCTTCTTAGTAGCCAAGCAAACCGGTTCGGACCAAAGGCTTTTGGATGGTTCAATCACTCCTAAACTTAACATTTCTTGTAGTTCGTCATCCATTATCTTCTGTTTCATCGGAGAGACTGGGTAGTCCCTCTGCTTGATAGGTTTCGTACCAGGCAACAGCTCTATTTCATGTTCCGCAACGTTGCAACGACCAAGTACTTCAGGCATCTCGGAAAATTTTTGCTCAACTAAGCTATCCAACGCTAGTCGCTGCTCTGGTGTCAGAGTGGTTTTATCTTGAACGCTACAGACCTGTGCGTCAATATTGTTTAAGGTCCGGAACCAACTCGTTGAATTTCCAAAAATCTATTCCGAGGATTAGGCGATGGGGGAGTGCAGAATGTCAATAATTTTAGTTCTATGCATCAGAGTGACGGGAAATTGAAAATAGCCAGTACTGGTGCAGCTTTGTCCGTTTGCAACAGTACAGCTCATATTATGTTTTAGCATTTGAAGGCCAAAGTTTTTTAAAACCTCAAAGCCTGGCAACCCAACAATTGTGCACGAAGCACCGGAATCAAGCAAGCCTCGCATTTTGAATCTCAAGATGGAAATTTCCAAATATGGTCTTTGATCACCGTGGGCATGACCAATGATATAATCCAAAATAATCTTCAGAAACGACCGATAAATCAAAACTGGAAGAGATCTCACGGTCTATTGACCCTTCCTTGATTCGTTTCCCGAGCATTTTGGGCACGACCTAATTGTGACATTAGGAGCTCCACATCGGTAGGTATGAGTCCTTTTTGGTTTAGTGCATTCTCGGTTCATATGTCCGGTTTCCTGGCAATTCCAGCAGGTTATCGTTGAGACGCGACCAGGTAGCGAACGGGAATGTTGAGAAATAATGACAACATCGGCAGACGTTTCCACCTTACTATCAGCTGTGGAAGAGGCTGATACTAAGGCGATATCCGAAATGTGTTCTTCTTCCTTGACGGCGGTAACTAATGATCGGCTCTATATTTTTTCGTTTCCAGTTTTAAACACTCGTCCTCCAATTCTTCTATTGAGCTTATGACAGGAAGCTGCGTTCCATGAGATGGAGCCAAATTCCTTAAACGATATCCAGCTGTTCGTCGAGCGGAATACCTCCATACCTTCTGAAAACTCCACTCATATTAGACAAGTAACGTAACTATGGATTCTGAGGAATTTTGGGTACGATCCATTATTTGTTTAAACAGTCTTGGTTTGTAATCTGGTTCCTAAAAATGTTTCCTCAACTAATCACACTACTCGCTCAATGTGCCGAATCTATGATAGTTAGATCTGTACCATTCTTTGGTTTTGGAGTCAAACAAATCTATTGCCGATTCAAAAAGTTGCTCTTCCGAAACATTTCTTGCTCTTCTTAGCTCATTACTGTGCACGAATATCACTTTTGTGTTTTCCGTGAATTTGATTCCCCACTTTTCTACCTGTTGAGATTTAGCGTATGTTAATGGTAGTCGGTGCTAGTGTATTTGTGTTAGATGTCGACGCGATGGCGGGAGAAGTATTAGAACTATTAGGCGATGAAGTATTTGCGGTGGCTGCGTGTCCACCTGGTCGAGATACAACAGAAACATTATCATCATTCGACTAGTACACTTCTTTAATGTATCTGGCATTTAGGATTTCCATAAGCAGAAATGCTTTTATTTCAACTTGTTCGCTGGTTAGTTGATCGTTAGGCAGAAGATCTACTCTACGAAGAAAATGCACCAGTCTTGATTGTAAGCGTTCAAATTTTATTTTGGCCTTGGTACCAGTGAATCAGTGAAAGAATTCATGAGGGTTGTAATCTCACACAATCTCGTATACAGTATTGCCAGATGAATTTTAAAAAAATCATGAGAATCGAGAAAGAAAAATCGTGAGAAATCGTGAGACTAAAAATTGCTTAGTATTGTAAGAAAATAAAGCACAACAATGTTTTTTCATAGATTTTTGATAAAGTAAACATGATTTTACATCCATGAGAAATAAACATTTTATTATTAAATCTTGTATCCTTGTTTTTTTCGTTTTTTAGCAGGTGTTTCTGAGAGCTGAACCTCGTTTTCACTATCCGCAGGATTGCTCATAAGGCGTCAATTCTCGAGGCGGCAGCTGGTCTGCAAGTGACGTCACCACTATCAGCAACTGCTATGTGATAGTAGTGACGTCATCTGCAAACCTCGATGGATTGTTTGCAGTTCAGGCTGTGCTTGTGAGTTGATTTTGTTGGGAATTTTAAATTTAGAATAGTTGATTTCACGTTTATGAATCCGTTTTTTGGACTCGGATAATGCATTTTCTTCCAAGAGTTGAGGTCTACAGCTGACGTCACAGATAGTGGGTTCTCGTGGAATTGGCAAACACTTTCAGCTCAATAAGCAGTCCTATATTACGTGTTCAGGCGCGCTTGTACCAGGAGCGGCGTAACATAACTAAACTAGTAGATTTTTATTTTGATTATTCTCGATTACATTATATTTGATTAGCGATTTGATTTACTACAGAGACAATTCGTGAGAATTGCTACCTCATTCGTGAGATCGTGAAATTCTGACCAAAATCGTGTAATCTTACGAATAATCGTGAGATCTGGCAACACTGCTCGTATATACTTAGTTCCGTCGTCAAAAACGAAAGCATAATCTGGGGAACTCAATGATTTGTTCCTTCTCTCCAATTTTATCAAAGGCCTTAGCGCTGCTTTCATTTTCTCCACCGTCGAAGTGTCATCTACGGGAATGTCCCTTAGCTTCAATTTCCATAGCAATTCAGGCTTTCTCAAAGTATCGGCTCTCACTTTATAATCCATTTGTAGTTTGTGAATAACCCACCAGAAAGTAGAAACAAGCTCTACGATACGAAATAAGTCTTAAGATAGGCAGAAAAAAAATCAATATACATATGTATTTATAAAAACGTAAAGAAAAACTTTATTCCGTATATGAACGGCGCACACAAATATTTTCTATATGACTAGTGGTGTGTACAGGGTGAGTTACTATATTTTGACACTCACCTGCAGCCGTAATTACAGGTGATAGGTGAAAGGTGTAAATACTAAAGTTGTAGCATTTTATCTGAACCACCAGAATTTTCAATTAGATTGAAAAAATAAGCAACACAAAATGAAAAAATATGTCAATGTTCACTTTTTTCAAATGAAATGCACTTTATTTTCTTTCAAATTTATAAAGTTCTCGTTTTTATGATTCAGATTATATAATATATTAATGTTTCCTTCAATAGTTTTGGAAATATCTGTAGTTTAGTTATTCAAAAACCTATTCATGAATTAGAATATTTTGTGAACCGGTGACAGGTAAATCAAGGTAAAATATATTCAAAAAACGACTGTCTTTGAATAACTTACCTCC